AGATAGATAGATAGATAGATAGATAGATAGATAGATAGATAGATAGATATATAAACAGATAGTATAATCTATATAGTAGTGGCCGCCCCTATTAAAATCTTGCAATATATAACACGTCCGTTTATAAATATAATAATAACTATACTATAATAATAATAAAAGCCCTTATACTAAGAAAGTAGAATAGGTTTTACTCTTTAGGCCTACAAGCAAGGCTAAATTAAAAATTTTAAGGCCGCAGTAAAGGTATATAATATGCTTCTAAAGACTCTAAGGCGATACTATACTAGTATTTAACCACAACGCGGCTATAATGCGCTAAATTGCTGTTTTCTAATAGTGTAAGAGAAGGCCCTTAAGCAGTAGATTTTATAAATATAGTATACTACTAAGAATTACAACTATATAAGAGATGGCCGCTATTTTAGCTGCGCAGCGCATTAGGCCTGCTGCTACTAAGCCTATTAGCTAGAACTGGGTAGTAAACTTTATTAAGCGCTATAATAATTATATAATCTAAATTTAATTAAAAGTATAATTACTAAGAGGCTAAATATAAAGATCCTATTATTATTTAAGGCTAGTATAAATATATAGAGGATATAAAGATGCAATATAGGATTCTAGCTAATAATAACTAGAACTTTAATAAGACTGGCTTCTAGATAGGTGTTATATAACTGCAAAAGTTATTACAGGCACTAATAGGGCCGGCCGGCCTAGGACTATATAGCCAGGCAATTAAAAGTAGCTTATAATTATTAAGTGCATTAATATATTAAGGTTTGCAATTCCACTGCTTATTATCTTTAAGGCCCTAATACACTAGGCTGCTTAGTACTAGGATATTATTATTCAATATAACTAGTTAATTAGCGTTAGTAAGAATAGCTGGATAATAAATAAAATAGGCCTTATATAGATTAAGTAATTCTATAAGTATATAAAGGATTGCACTATTAGCATGTATTAGCTGCTAGTGCTAGATAGCTATAGCAGCTATATTAGCCCCGAATTTAACTAATTCTAGATAGATTATAGTATTATCACTGTATTATACCAGCATATTTATTATATCTACTGCAGCTGCTTAATATAAGCTGTTTCCTACTGCTTAAGTAAGCCTATAGACGCCTTATTAAAGATATTATAGGCAGTGGTGTCAACTATATTAATAAGCGCGAATTCTTACCGCTGTATAGGCAGGCTAGGAAATAAGCTCTATATTAAAGCAATTTACAGGCAGGATTTACAGCTACTAGCTTTATAGCATCACGTACGGCCTCGTGTATAGCATCACGTACGGCCTCGTGTATAGCATCACGTACGGCCTCGCGTATAGCATCACGTACGGCCTCATGTATAGCATCACGTACGGCCTCGCGTATAGCATCACGTACGGCCTCGCGTATAGCATCACGTACGGCCTCGCGTATAGCATCACGTACGGCCTTGCGTATAGCATCACGTGTAGAAAGACGTAAAGGTGAATGCCCGGAGGAAGCTCCGGGCTCTCCGAGCCAATCAGAAGGTGGTGAAGCGCCAAGGGGGGGGGGGGGGGTGTACGTGTAGTGAAAAGGGGGTGTACGAGTAGCGCTCCCCTTATATTAAGTGGTGGTGGAGTTATAAGCGTGCAAAACTAGCAGTTTTGGCGGTAATTTTGGGTGGCTCGACCGGGTGGCTGGCTCGACCGGGTGGCTGGCTCGACCGGGTGGCTGGCTCGACCGGGTGGCCAGGATGTTAAGCAATTGCTTCGGCATGCCATGTTTTATGTAACTCGCATTTTAGTCCAAAGGGCGGAGCATGTGATCAGTTTTACTCTTTGGATAATCTTCTCTCCATTCATTCATCTTAGGGACCTGATTGAAAGAGAAGCTACGGAAAGAATGGAAAGCCTCACTGGGATCACTGGCGGAATTTTCTTCTTTTCCGGAACACTTCACAGCCACTCTAGGTTTGAATCTGCTCGGAAATGCCAACTTGGTCGTGCCTTGATACCTACGGGCATGGAACCCTGTTTGTAGGGACATTTCATGGGAGCGATGTTCCTAACCTCTTTGAGATTACGCAGGGAGAGCCACAGAATTCGACACAGTCGTACTATATCTCGGTTGTATATACAATGAATCCGAATGTGGACACGAATGTGTCGTTGCCTAGATGGCCACAGTGGGCACAGTGGGGAGAAAACGAGGAGTTGCTCCAATTTGGAGCGGAGGAGAATGAGGTGGTGACGGACACATTTGGGCAGGAGAGCTTTGAGGTGATTCAGGAGAAGCTTACAGAGCTGAGATTGTGAAGAGATTGCTTTTCCAATTGTTTTTCGCTGACGTACCGCGTACCTCAAGGTGTACATCCGCATAAAGTAAATGAGTAAAAAGTGCCAACCTAATCCCGACCTGTCCAGCATCTTTGCATCACCGGCAACGGGACGTGTGGATTGCTCTAGCCAACTGCTGGTTTAGATCTATTTAAACAAGGGCAGATGATCCTCTCGGGAAATTTGCTTGAGGTTCGGAGCTTGCGGAGCTATATGTGATCTTATTTCGTGACCCGGGACAGGCTTGCGCCCCTTCACTAAAAATTGATAATGTTGTGAAGACGAATGCCCAATCTTGGGGTCTGAGACTGCAGAAAGCTGAATCGAAGCTGAGCCAGGCCTTAGTAACATATATGGTAAGTGCACAAGACTGTAATCCGTTATCAGGACTTAGGAGGTATATACGCATCTAGATTTTGAAGATAGATCGTACTCTTGTGGCAACACCACGATTCTTGCTGCGCGGCAACCGTCCAGCAGCAGCTCTGCTCCGTAGAACTCTTTTGCATGTAACTTCAGATTTTAACAAAATGAAACTCTGGTCATATATATATCCATTTGCATTACCACATCTCTCCAGGGCCGGTGCGACCGCAAGTTCAACTTTTCCTGGATTATCGATCTCTTCGTCGTCTATTTCCTCCATTTCAGATTCATAGAACATGTATCCATACTGTTGGCTGGCTTTGCCCCCAGTGTACGTCACAAATCGGTAGTCTGCTTGTTGCTTTTTGAATTTCAAGTCGAGGGCCGCCGCAGCGGACACTATTGTCTTGAGATCTTCTTTCCCCGAGCGAAGGCTCTGAGTTGCCCAAGGCCTCAATTTTCGACGGATGCGGCTTGCAAACTTGCCGATCCATTTCAGGATCGGCCCAGCGTCGAAGTTTGGGCTCCATTTGCCATCGACTTCGGGGACGAGTAGGTTTGTGGTAAGAGCTCTCCAATGGTGGTACTCTTCAGCATCTTCCTCATTCTTTACCCCTATCATTGACAGTTAGTGTCAGATCATCTACTTCCGAACCCTAGGTCTTGCCTTTTCGGATCGCCTCATTCAATGGGCGGAGTTTACGATCTCCGAGTTTACCCGCCCAGACGTATCCGCAGCCTTTATGGTAGCTACTAAATATTCGAGCCTGTAGCTTGCTCCACAGGTACGCTTGTATAAGGAGTGGCCGATCCTGCGGATGCTTGAGATATGCGGCATAGTTATCCGTAAGATGGCCGAAAAGCTCTTTCGAAGAATACAATGCTGGTCGACTTTGACGTTTTGCCGACGTACCGCTGAAGTAGCGTTCTGACCACTGACGTACCTCCCAGCGCAGTGCCTGCAGCTCTTCTACCAAGGCTCTGTCGTCTGGTCGGTAGTGACCATTTGATCGCGGCGACCCATGCTTGGTGGTGGACATTCGAAGCTGTTGTCGAAGCTGGTCTCTTTCTCTTGTGACGGCTACGATGCGCTCTATTAACTCGTCTTGGCTTAAACCACGATCGAACTTTGGTCTCGATGGCGATTTTGCTGGAACGGAGGGTACGCTTGTCTTCGTAATAACTGGTACTCGCCCAGTCCCTGAGGACGTGGATGATGACGCTGAGCCGTGAAGGCCCTCATCACCGGGCACGACCAAAAACGGCCTGTTATTCCGCAGAGGGGTTGGCTGCCATGAAGAGTGGAAAGCATTGGGTATCAATTGCTCCTCGTCCGACCACTCGTTCTCGGACTCGCGTAACAACGGTGGGGTTTCCACCTCGTGGACGACGAAGGGGTTTTCCATCGAAGAGCTGAGCACTTCAGCTGAAGGGCAGGATAATTTGAGGGCGGAAAGGGTCGAGTCGCGGACGTCTGTAGGGCTGTTAAACGATGATGCATGATGCCGACAAGCACTACGAACCTGTATTGCCCTCCGTGGTCATGTCACCTTTGGGCGCATTGCACTGGGCCAGACGGCCGAACCGTTTCAACTTCTGAGCTTATCCTCGGGGCCAGGGCTGAGCTGTGGTTCGAGATCGGTTGGTGCTGGCTAGTGGGAAGGGTCGCAGGGCTGGCTGAGGATTTGAACGCGGTGGGAGCAAACAACATGCCCAGCGCAGGGCGACGCTCTCCCCATCGTGAGAGACAGAGGTGGCCAATCCTGCTTCTTGCCCTGAGTCGTATCTAGCTGCAAGAGAGATGGCGGTTATGCAGCCAGTCAAGTCCCTCGGGGCGGATGAGGGGTGGGCTGCCAAGACGGGTGATGCATTAAATAGGGTCCACCTTCTGCAGACCCATGCGAAGCTCGCCTGGCATGTCTGGCCTGCAGGTGTTTCGGCCTTGTTCTTGAATACGATACATGTCTTGGTTTCTATTTTGAGGGCTCAAGTTTGCCCAACAAACTATCACTCTCGCTGCATTCAACTGATTAATTCGCTCACATCGGTGTACATGTCTCATACCGTGCTTTTTCCTGGGCTACTTTGAGCTTGGATGTTTATTACTTTCCTCACTGATCTTAGTAGCGATGACGAGTTGATTGATGACGAAAATGCCCAGGCCCGCCTTCAACGCCAATGCCCTTGCCCGGTAGATGCCGACTGAACCTAACCAATCTTACCACCTCTTGACGGCCTAATCAAGGCTGGAAGCCAGAGCAACGATGCTGAACCGAAGGTCCTCCCCCATGTTCTTGATAAACCGACGAACGCCGAGCTGCAATGCCTTCTCGCTGAGAGCATCATCATCCTCACTGAGCACTCCCCGATCCAAGGGCCCCTTCCATCCTCCCTCCAGCTCCCATAGACGCCCATCATCTCCCTTGACAAAAGCAATGAAATGCTGTCCGACATGGTCGAAGGACGGTGGAGGAGCCGTGTCGCCTTTCTGCGCTGCGGAAGCATGGGCTACCTCTAAAGCCTGAGAGTTGTACAAAACGTCCGCACGAGGGCTCGGCTTCAGCGGTATGGCTTCTTTGAGGATAGCCTCGAGATCAGATCCAGGTTGGATGTAATTTCGTGCTCCGCCGTTGCAGACGGCATGCAGGCAGCCGATTAAGCCGCACGCATTTCCGATGGTCTGTTTGAACCATACAATGGGTTCAGCTTCTCCAGAACCATCGTAGGCAGGAATCGTCTCGTCCTCTTCCTCGCGGGTTTTATAGTAAGCCTTGGCGGGACAGATGAAAATGAGAGCATGCACGGGACGTGGAATGAAAGCAAGTAGCTCCGGCTCGTCGATGCTGTAGATGTCATAGAAGCCCAGTTCCGGAGAAACGCCAAGGAGATGAACGAGATGAGTGAAGACCTCCGGGTTGTTCTCTACCGGCTAATCAGATGGTGGAATGGATAGAGTCCTTGCCTGAACGAACCTAGAGGAACGAAGTGCTTCTTCGTCGTATCAACTTTTCCTGGGTCGGCCATTGTAGAGGTTGTTTGATGTTATGGAGAGCAGAAGGTGATTGTTTGTGGAGGTTGTGGGTGCGGGCTGTAGGCAACAGAGCAACGCAACAGCCGCCAAGCCTGGACCATCTAACGAGGCCCTAACGAAAGATGCATAAACCAGCTCAAATATATGAATTCCTTAGATTTTTGATAAAGGAAGATTCAGATCATGCGTGAATCGTGACATCAATGCTGTGTACGTCTAATTAGCATAAACCTCGATGCTAACTAGGCAAAATCGGCATTACGAAATGAATAGAGAAGCTGACGCTAAATAAAATCGTCCTGGAGCTTGTGAAGGGCGCCAGTGTCCGTGTGCCTTTACGTTCTGGCATCGAGAATTGGTATACATTTTGCGGGTGTGGGAATTATGAGCATTGAAGTAATGATGAGACTTTTTTCCTTTCTCCCCGTTCCTCTTCAGGCACCGGAGCAATTGCGCCTAAGTAGAAATACAATAAATGTTACAGTTCCTTCTACATGCTAGGCCGGTGAACGAATGTAACGGATAGCCAGCTTCTACTAACTCTTACATCTACAAGCCTACCGCCTCCCGAACAAGGGCCATTGTAGCATCGGCGCTAGCACGAGCTCTACGTGAGCCTTCCTCGTTCATATCCGACAGCCAATGCGTATTAGCATCATGCATCACACTTTCGTACTTGTCTCTAATACTACTGAGACGTTCGTCAATGGAGTCAGCAACCTTCTCTTTGAAGGCACGCATCGACAAGTCTTTATAGTCATGGGCGAGCTCGTGACAAGACCGAACTTCGGCAGCGTCCAGGTGATACAGAATCTCAATTAAATTAGACACGCCTGGTCGTTGCTGGGGGTCATATGTTATGCTGCTGATCGAGTCAGTCAACGCGGACTTGATTTTCTTTGTGATCTCATCTCGAGAGTCTGATATGAGTATTCTTGACTTCGGATTTTTATGGGATTTCGACATCTTTAGTTGGGGCTGTGTAAGAGACATGACTCTCTTTGCAGGTGCTGCACTTATTAGCGGAGGAGGAAATAGTTTTGATCTATTTGGACTGACATAGTATTGTTTCTGGTGGCACAAGAATCTTGCCGGATGTATGGTTGAAGGCATTGGCACAGTTACGAGCAAATTCGAGATGCTGGCTCTGGTCCTCGCCGACAGGCACATGCGTAGCACTGGTGACATCTACAATCAGCTGTGAATAGGTATGCAAGGAGAAGACACGTACCGGTGTACCAGAACGTCGGCCGCTTGAAGGACCGGATATGAGAAAAGACCAAGTCTGAGTTTGGCTTTGGAGGACTCATCAAGAGGAGAGACGTTGTCTGGGAGGGCCAATTTACTCTGTATCAAAGTCAACCAAGACGTCCCGACAGGAAACGAAGCAAAAGTACCTTCCACTGTGTCATTCTCGAGAGGTAGCCTATGGATGCAGTGCAGCTAAGGATCCACATCAATTCTGAATGCGCCGGCACGGCAGATTGACAGAAGATTATGGAGCGCTTCGGATCCAGTCCTACAGCAATCAGGGACGCAAACATCTCCTTGCGCCACTGTCGTAAACGGGCTGGATCTTGGGCGACTGTGATAGCATGGAGGTCCACAACGGAGTAGAGCAGTGTCGACTCTGGCGCGGCCTCATCCTGTAGTTTGACCCATTGGCGGAGGGCACCGAGATAGTTCCCTAGATGCGGGACTCCGGTCGGTTGAATGCCCGAGAACACAACCTGGCGGCGCGAGGGCGAGGCGGCGATGGACAAGAGCCGCGAGGTAGGTCGGAGCATGGTAGGTTGCTGGAGGCGGGTTGGAAAGACGAGTGAACCAAGCTATTGGCCGCCGCTCACACCACCGAGTCGCAGAATAAGCGTGTTGCAGGCATTTTGAGGGATGAAATAGGCAGTCGCATCTTAATGTCTTGAAGGCTTTAAAACCGTTTGCTGTAATATTCACATTCGGCGCTGAGCAAAAACAACGTACGGAAGTGGTTAGACGGAGGTGAAGGCTTCGTCATTGCATTTCACGATCCGCCCACCACAGCCACTGTACGTTGCCCTTTACACACTCTACAATCTCCGCTTCTCCTATTCAACCCTCGCCTATTACCACCACCTCACCGTATACAACCCTCCCGTCGAACACACAATCTTGCACCCCACAACGACCCGCCAACATGTCCTGGACCGGTTTCAAGAAGGGCGTCAACCGCGCCACGACGCAGGTGTTGATGAAGGCCGGACAGGTGGAGAGGACAAATGACCGCGACTTCGAGACCGAGCACAGGCGCTTTCGCACCATGGAGACCGCCGCAAACAAGCTGCAGAAGGAGGCCAAGGGCTATCTAGACTCTCTTCGAGGTGGGATGCCCGCCTCCCTTCGCCAGGCCAACCCCACTGACTGGTCGCAGCCATGACCGCTTCGCAAATGCGCATTGCGGAAACAATAGATGCCTTCTACGGCGATGCCGGCGCAAAAGATGGTGTCAGCAGGAGCTACAAGCAGGCAGTCACGGATCTCGATGCTGAGACTATAAAAGCGCTGGACGGACCGTACCGGTATGCGAAAGTGTTGGCCTAACGGATCTCATGAGCTGACGAAGTGCAGAACTACCGTCTTGGACCCCATCTCGAGGTTCTGCGCCTACTTTCCCGACATCAATGCCTGTTTGTTCTGCCGTCCTGCAGCCAGCACCAGCCGTCACTGACCCCGCTAGGCATAACGAAGAGAGAGCACAAGCAGATGGACTATGACCGCATGCGCGCTCAGGTCAAGAAGCTAACCGATAAGCCCGACAAGGACGTGACCAAGCTACCACGCGCCGAAAAGGACGAGCAGCTTGCAAAGGCAGCCTATGATCAGCTGAACGAGACGTTGACCACGGAACTGCCTCAGCTCATCGATCTTCGTGTTCCGTATCTCGACCCCAGCTTTGAAGCACTAGTAAAGATTCAGCTCCGCTTCTGCGCAGAAGCGTATTCACGAATGGCCCAGGTGCAACAGTACCTGGATGCAGATACTAGGGATCAATATGCTCAGGGACAGCTCGACGCCAGAGTGGAAGAGGTGCTAGAAGAGATCAGAGGATTGAGCATTGCTGGCACTGTCTGAAAGGCCGTTTCTTGGTCAGATTCTAATCAGCATCCATTTTTATTGTATGCGTATAGCATTGCATTGGTTTTGGTTTTTCACGTGGGTCGGGGCGTATCAGAAGTAAGTAGTGGGATTAGGACCGCCCAAGCACGGCATAGAGGCACCCTTTGAGTCAACTCGACGATTATTATGTTCATGAGATGACGTTGCTTGTGCACTGAACGGAGGTTATATAAACTCATCTAAAGGGGCACTCCGACTACGGCTGTTGTTGCTACCCCGCGATAGCCTGAAATTTTGTGCGCATATTCGAGTAAATGCAAGAGTGAGGAGCAGGAAAGTGAGAGAAAGGAAACCCCAATGCCGCTATGAAACGCCAGAGAAATGCAGGATTCGCGCCCAGCGCCGATGTTTGAGCCCGAAAAGACTACTGGCCCCAACGCCGCGCTTGATGAGAATCAAAAGAAAAAGGGGTTCTGGGAATGCCTGCCATCCAAGCCTCCGCGTCGCAGTCTCCTAGGTTTCTTCTTCCTCCTCGTCCCCGGTCGCATCCGAGTCCGAGTCCATGTCTTCGTCGTCATCGTCAGCATCCGAGTCGCTACCCCCAAAGCTCTCAGCATCACTATCCTCCCAAGTCATGTAGTCATCCTCCTCCTTGTGTGTCTTGAACGCAGCCTCGTGGGTCGGCATAACGAACCCAGTGGGAATGTCCTGCTTGCTGGCTTCCAGGTCTTTCTTGACCATTTCCTTGTATTTCGCGGGGTCGTTGCGGAGCATCACGCCAGCGTCGACGTTAGCAGGTGACGAGACTTCAGCGTCATCGAGGAGCGATAGGACGGAGATCAGGACAGACTCGACACGCTGAACCGGTGTCCAGCGTTCTGATGCGAGTTCGCCCGACATTTCGTCATCGCCAGAGGCGTGCAGGATAGATATGCACAGGCGGCCGTCGGGATAGATGTTTGGGTGGTAGAGAGGGCGGATGAACCTGAAGTCTAAAGCATCGTTAGTTCTCCTCTTTGATCTCTTTAGGGTTTCTGTAGGACCGCCTGCGATGGCTTCTCTGCGAAGTCAAAGAGAAGGGCCGAGGACTCAGTATCAGGCAACATACCTGGTGGGGTGTATGGGTAGTTCTTCGAGAAGGTCATCTTTGCTTTGAAGTAGCCGCCGTAGTAGAGAGAGTCGGGGTTGAGGACGATGAGCGCGACGCTCCATTCAAGCACGTTGTCATCGATGAGCTGGACAGGATGTTAGCTCGGACTCCCACAATATGCAGTCTTCCACAGATCTCAGACAGACTCACCTCGACATTAGTCCAGAGCTCTTTGGAGAGAGCCTTGTACTCGTTCATTAAGAGGCGTTCGGCAGACATGGTGGCGTGCGAGGGCGACGAGGTAGTTGAAAGGAGAATGCGGGGTGACGATGGAGGCGGGGCCAGACAGCCAGCGGATACTGTCGATATAGCAGAGAGGTTTGAGGGTTTGGGGGTGGTGAGGGGTAGAGAGAGTGCAGAAGACTAGGCGGCCTGGGAGAGGGCTTGTGAGGTGGTGTGCTGATGACTAGAGTGAAGTTAAGCCCGCCGCAATCGCCCGCCTTCACCGTGCGCTCCGTCTCGGCGCTGCCATTTCACCTTCCATGGTTGACCATTCTTTCTTCGAATCACCTCATCACTCCTAACTGGCCGGAATCTTTGACCAGCCAGACGCTTCTCCTTGGACATTCAAGCGCGCCAGGTCGGAATCATCACCGACCCTAACTGACGCCAGTCGCCATTCCAAGGTTCACAGGCATCACGGTACCCACCATCACCAAGATTATCGGATTCACCGTAAAATAAATATGCAAAAGCAGTCGATGAACCGCGGGATTCTGTACTGAGAACCTGAGCTATTGACACTCACATATCACTGCTCAGGTACTTCAAGGTCTGTTCAGTTTTTGGCCGTCTGCCAATACATGCGGTATTGTCCTTATCTCAGTTCCCCCTCCTATTGCACTCAGGCGCCTCAGCGAAATGGACATGTCCTCTCTAAAAGAGAATACTCTGTCTCGTCTAGATACGAAATAGACCAGCTCTAGCAGCAAGCAAAGTTACATCGACTAATATGCGGCGCTGCAGATCTTCCTGTGTGCAGGACATATTTTTGGAACATTCATTTTGTGCTTGTCATCTGCAAGATTGACCATGTTTTCTTCTACCATTTATCTCCACCATCCTGATTCTTCTCCTCGGCCTTCAATTAGAGTAGGCGACACCTATATCCTGTTTTTCATTACGGGAAACCCAGGCCTGATAGAATACTACCGCACTTTCCTCTCTCACCTCTATGCTCTGCTATCCAGCACCGGTTCTGACCAGGCTTCGGCCGGGGCAGACCAATTCCAGGTGTTTGGGCGGGATTTGTTAGGATTCCAAGTTGAACATGCAGATCCCGCCAACGGCGCATCTCCGCCGTACGGACTGGAAGCCCAAATCGAAGCCACTGAGAAAGCTCTAGACACTCTCGTCAGTGATGGTACTACGAATGTCCAGGGCAATCGCCCAAAGGTTATTCTCATCGGACACTCAGTCGGTGCATACATCCTGTTGGAGGTACTGCGCCAGCATAGAGAGAAACTTCGAGAAGAAGCTCCTCAGAAAGCCATGACGATCATCGGCGGGGTCTGTCTCTTCCCTACTGTCACTCACATCATGCAGAGTCGGAGCGGGAAGAGCGCTGGTGTATGTAAAACTCCATATCTAAGCTATCTGTCTGTCTTTGGTAGAGTTGCGAGACATGCTGAGCTGTCAATATGCTGGCACTGTGATCTTGAGCCAAAGTCTTACCATTGCGTACAGTTTTTACTTTGCCGTCCATACTTTGCTCGCGCTGCTGGTCTCATCGCACAGCTGCTTCTAGTTTTCGTACCGAGCGTACTACTACGTCTCCTTATCCACATGGTGACAGGATTCCCAGCTGATGCAGTGGCAACGACCGCAGCATTTGTGAGGAGTAAATGGGGCGTGAGACAGGCACTGTATGGGCCCAACCACTTCCAGTCACGCGATGTCAAACCCGGATTCTAACTTCTGCGCAGACATATGGCTCGTGATGAAATGCTGTCTATCACGACAGACGCATGGGACGAGGAGGTCTGGGGTGCGGCCCATCCATCGCCAACCTCACATCCTCGCGCCCAACTAAGATTTCTCTTTGGGAAGGGAGATCATTGGGTTGCCGAAGAGACTAGGGACGACTTGATTCGCACAAGGGCTTCTAAAGAAGACACTGAGCTAGAAGAGGCGTGGAAGCCTAAAATGGAAGTGACCGAGGAAGGCTGGCCGCATGCCTTTTGCATTCGTAAGTCTTATTAACATCACCAACTATCGAGGAAAGAAGGTGCATGAGCTAAATGAATCAGGGCATAGCGTTCCAGTAGCAGAAAAAGTAGCAGTATACGTTCGCGATATTATACGTGGGGACAAACAAGACGTCGATCTGCACAAGTGAAGGTCACAGCGTGGGGAACAAAAGCATCATGTACTGAACGAGAACGAAAAGGCACTAGGAACTTATGCTTGTATTCCTAGCCTCTTAGAGGTCTCACTCTACCAGTGGACTACCGCAAATGATATGGTATTGGCCGTAGTAGTGCGGTTTCTTCAGTTCGCTATGCACACCACTCCTAGTCCTCGTGAAGGTATAATATGTGTTGTACCAGCGGAGGTCGTTTGCACTGAAGTAATAGTCAACCAAAGCAATCCAATGGGGCGTATCTGGCCTCTGTCCTTCGACCTCAAATGTGCTGGTGTTTTGTGATAAGCATGATTGGTTGATGGTAACTTGTCCCGGACTCAACAGCCAGTTCATCCATTTCCGTTATATCCATGCTTCGTCTTTTGGAGCAACTGACCCAGGAGGTCCACCGACTGCCCTGGCTTTGGTTGAGTGTGAGGTTCGGAAACGTAGCTTGCGTTGGACCTGAAGAAGTCGGTGTCCGGTGTGGAACCGAATGGTCCAGACTTCGTTACTGGACTGTGGTGATTTTGGATGCTCCAACCTGAGTCCTGTGCTCTCTGCTGGCCGAAGAGCTCTCTTAAAGACAGCTGCCGGCCCATAGGCACGCTTTCTTCCTCCTCGTCTGCGGTCTCTTCCTCCTCGCGTGGGATTGTGGGACCACCCCCTCGCATCTCTATCCGCTTCCTACTCTTCTCCGCTTCAGTCGCACACTGCTCTATGAGCTGCGCCGTCATGGTCCTCATGTTCGCGGTGGAAGAGGGCGGTGGCTCCGAGAATATCCAGAGCCCGTATATCTTGGGGGCGTCGTCGGTAGTAACTTGAAGAATTATGTAGTCCTCCGTATTCTCAACATCGTCGCCGCTCAGCAGCTCTGTGTAGAAATTGTCGAGACCGCGGCGATTGAGGATTGTGACGCAGTATCGCTGTGCGCCAGTAGGGCTCTCGGTGAGCTGGCAAATGAACAGCGTGCCTTCGATGCCGCACTTTTCCCACTGCTGGGTGGTGCCCGAGAAGAGGTAGACAACAGCATAGGGTGCGATGGAGAGAATTTCTGCAACTGCAGGATTGTGGCGGCGTATAACGGAGAGGTTAAGCTCGTCGTTGGAGCGCGGTGGTGGGGTTGGGAGGTCGAGAAGAGCGGGCGCGTCAGTTTCATAGTCTGATGCTTGGACTGGCGGTGGGTTTTGGGGCGGCTTGGGCTTTCGCGAGGCCATGATCAGAGTGTCGCGCGGTCGAAGGCGTGGTGTTGCGAAGTTCAAGACGGTGGCTTCAGCCTACGAGAAGCAGTGCGGGACAGGCTGTCAAGACATACTGCGGCCCTAGCTTCAGGCGGGTTGTCCTTCCCTAGCATCGACCTCCGGCGTCTCACTCAAATGCTTTATAGTTAATCGGAAATCTAGACTATTCTGTACTGATTAATATGAGGATAGATAATAGACACTGAGAACTATACTCGGGCCCCGTCGGGTTGTTTCACAATGATCGAAGATCAGCCCGTACTACGTACGGGCCTACACCCTCAACCGAAAAACACCCTCAAACGAAAATATATTATACATTCACTGTTTCTCAATTAATAGGCCTCCCCTAGGGCCCCTATTCCATCCGGTCTAATACAGGATCAACCTAAGTATTACCTTTATCTCTATCCTTATTTGGTGTTAGTGGCCTAGGTTTTATAGCCTTAGCATAGTTAATTATCTTAGCTACCTGTTTTCTCCCTATCTTTATATATAGCCCTATTACCTATCTAATATAGGCCTTTCTATATACAGGCTTAATTAGGGGCCTTTAATTTACTATCTAATTAGCTAGTAATATAAAAGGAAGCTTTATAAGGGCCGTAGTGTCACGGCTTGAACGGTGAAGCTTGCTGCACAGCGTAACACGTGATGTTAGGACCCGGCGAGAGGCCTTGTTGCAAGGGCCTATGCGAGCCTTGGCAGGAGTATACCTGCCGACCGCCGCCCTGCCTCCTTGTAGCTCCTTGAACTACGTCTTGTTATTCAACCCGCCTGCCTGCCGTGCATTATAGAACACGTAGTGAATTCAGTTATTACTTCTACCTACCTGCCCGAGCTAGCTAGGGCAATCCTGCCGCCCGAGACCGTGACATCTAAGAAGGCGTTAGATAGGAAGATTGCTGCGTTAAACAAGCAGTCTGCATTATTCTGTTAATCTTCGGCTAGCTTAGGTCCTTATTAGGATGCTTAAATATCTTCGGTTGTCCTACTCTCTTTAGTGCTGTTAGCGCTGGCCCTAGTTCTGTGCTGCCTTTACGTGCATTATTATTAGCAGCTCTCCTCTTCCTGGACTAGGTTAAGGTTGTACACACCCCTAGCGGGGCCTGGGGCGTGTACAAGCTCGGCCCCTTGTTAGTGTTGTATCGGTATAGCGTCGCCCACCTCTTTAATGTAGCCCGTAGCTGGGCCCCTTTCCTTACGCTGTATTCGGCACTGTATGCCGGGTGGTTTCTCTTGCAGTTAGCGCACTTCTTAGTGTCTGTTGCCGTGCATTGTCTTGTGTCGTGTTCCCCTGCGCATACTGCACATCGGATGTCCTTCTTGCAGTGTCTTGCAACGTGCCCGTAGCCCTGGTATCTGAAGCACTGTGTGGCTACAAAGCCTGCTTTATATCTTAAGGCTGTCAGCAATTGTCCACTTATTGCAAATCCCTTTGTAATAGCTTTGTCTGCTATTGCTTCCGTGCGCACGCTGGCAATAATTGAGCTGGCGTGTCGGCCTGGGTTCTCTCGCGCAGCCTTAATGCCCTTCTTGTTCTTCTATGTTATCTTCTTGATAACTAGGCCTGGGTTAATTATCGCGTTGACCCTGATAATATCATCTTTAAGTGTTTGGCTTTCCAGGTCCAAGTTCTTAGGTACTCCATGCACCTCTATTAGCACTGCGGGCAGTTGTATGCGTGCCGTCTTGCCCAGCACCTGCACCTATTCCCTCTTCTTAAGCAGTGCTTCCTTTGTGGCCTTATCCGCGATGTATGCCTTGACGTCTCCACTCTGTAGCTTCCTTATGCCGCTAATCTTCGTTGTGTCCGGTGGTCCGGCTGCTTGAAGCTTCTGGGTGATAGTTA